CGTCCCCCTGTTCGAACACGTCTGGAAGGCAGAGGCCATCCCACAAAACTGCGGTGAATTGACTGTAGTGACAATCTACAAGAAGAGCAGCCACATTAAGTACAGGGGTATTAATCTAAAGCCGGTGGTGACAAAATTACTAATCTCAATTCTCCTTCGTCGCCTCACTGTGGTACCAGATAATCAGACCGGTTTCCGACTACGAAACGACAGTATTGATCACATATTCACTTTGCAGCAGATGTGAGAACAGCGCCACACCTAACGCAGACCGACAATAGGTGTGTCCCTGGATTTCGAGAGTTCGTTCGGCTTAGTCGATCAGTGCATTTTGTTCGAAAACCCTGTGCGGAAATTTGTCCCAATGAAATATGTTAACATTTTACGTGCCCTGTACTCGAACACCACAGGACGTGTCAGGGTCTACGGTGACTTGTCGGATGTCTTTCCGACAAGAAATGGCGTTTATCATGATTGCCCAATTTCTCCGTTTTTATCCAACTTCTTCGTGGTTTCCATCACGGAGTGTTCCCTTGCAGAATCTCTCGACGCAGGCGTTGATATGCTACCCGGTGAAAAACGTCATTTTAATCATGCGGACTGTATTATCTGACTCTTTAACCATGTTGGACTGGCCCAGTCCATCATCATCTGGCATGCCTTTGCACCTTCTAAGTGCTGCTTGGTACCTCTTAACTCTTGATAGTGAGGATTTCGAGGTAGTTGCTCCATTCAATTATCTTGGCAGCGGCATCTGCAACGATGGGCGCATAAATACTGAATTTAGTTCATGTATTGCAAAAGTTGGAACTGACTTTCGGAACCTACGACGTCTGTGGCGTCAGAAGAGAGTTTCCCTCGACCTCAAAGAGCGCATTTTCCAGGCCACGGTGAGGGCCGTCCTCCTTTATGGTGGTGACACTTGGCCCTTTTGATCTGAGGATCTGCGGCGCTATCAAGTCTTTGATCCTTGCTGCCTGCGAAACATTGCTGGTGTCAGATGGCATTAACGTGTCCGCAACGATGATGTGCGTAGGCGATTGCTAAGCTATGCTAATTAGGTTAGTGCCTTAGAACAGCAGATAGCACTGAATATGTTGCGTTGCCTTTGGCACCTGCTACATATGCCCGGCCACCGAGGAGGACCTTGTTTTGTTTGCCAGATGTAGTGTGCTGCGAGACTCGAGGTAGGGGAAAGTTAGATTTTCGGTGAGAAATAAAGTTACTGACGACCAAACTGTGTACTGTTGGTCAGTTTCGCCTTCCAGGCTGGAGTCCACGTGACCCGCCTTGTGCTTGATTTGATAGGTTACAGGATATGTCTTGCAGTCGTCACCAGTGGCGTCTCTACTGTCATTTCCCAATCGGACTGCCTATCTATATTATGTTTGGTGCTGAGTTATCTGCTGGGTGTAATGCCTGATTATGACGCGAGGCAGTGAAAGCCGAAAGGGAGTTGTTTGCATGATGGCCAGCTTTCTGCGACGATTTGTTGTTATCAATGCGTTGGTGCCTTGATCCTGTATGTTTGCTAGGTCCCCTTTCTCTCCCTGTTATTATACTTCATTCCGTAGGTCACCGTGGTTGTGCAACAACGAAGCATCAGTTCCAACAAAATCAACAACCAGATAAACAACAACAACAACCGTACACCAGCCATTAAATAAAATTTTTATTCTCGACTAAGCGAGACACGCCTGCACCGGCATGATCATGTTAAGAGTACAAAATGTGGTCAGTTAATGCCAATGGAACGATAGCGTTGTCACATATGTTGCTATATGAATGTGTACATGTAGGCGTGTGTAGCTGTTTATAGTATTTGTAGACGTTTTCATGCGCTTTTGATCATGTCGCCAGTTCTAACTGGATGTTTGATGTCTGTGGACTTGAACCAGTTGTCCGGGTAAGCAATGTGGTGACTTGAGTTGGTGGCGAATGACAACCACCACGTCACAGTGTTGTTAAACAGACATTTGTGGCTTTTTATAGGGAGAACGCTTCCCAGGGGAAAACTCACCACGTCCTGGAACACTGCCGCCGATCTATTTGCTGGAACGGGGTGAACGCGACCCACCCAATTATCACCACGAGGAGGTTGTTCGGCTAGTCAACTGCCATACAACCATGTTGGCCTGTGAGATAAAGAATAATAGGAGGGGAGAAAGGGGACTTGTCGGAAAACTTTAATGCCCTAAGCAAACATCCCTGGTCAAGGCGTCTGCACCTTGTGTCACCAACATATCGTCACAAGCAGCTGGCTATTAGGTAAAGCTAAGGCGGCATCGGCGAGACAACTTCCTTGCAGCTTTCACTGCCCCGCGTCAAAATTAGCTAAGAGACCCAGCAGATAACTCAACACCAAACACACTTTAAACAGGCAATTCGAGTAGGAGACGGCAACAGACACGCTACTGGTTTTGGCCGCAAGCCATGTCCTGTAAAATCTCGAGCGAAGCGCAAGGTGAGTCACCTGGACTTCATTCCAGAAGGCGAGACGTACCGACGGCACCCAGTTTGATTGTCAGTGACTTCATTGCTCGCTGCCAAGTCAACTTTTGTCCACCTCGAGCCTTTCGCCATCCTGTATTTGGCAAACAATACAGAGCTCTCCTCGGTAAGCGGTGACCGGGCATACGTAGAACGTGCCCATGCCAATGCAACTTATTCAATGCTACCCGTTGTTCTGAGGAACCAGCTAGGGTGTCACTGCCTTGCATTCGCCTGTGCATATCATCGTTTCGGACACGCTGGTGATACCGGACACCAGCAATGCTCTGCAGACAGTGATAATCAAAGATTTGAAGGCGCCTCACATCTCCAGGTCGTAGGGGAGAATTCTCAATCCCATAGAGTGGGACGGCTCTCACTGTGTCCTTGCAAACACGATCTTTCAAACAGAGGGAAACTCCTTCCTGTCGCCAAGCATGTCGTACATTCAGAGACCCAGTTCTGGTTTTTGCAATGCGTGAACTGACTCCCGTTTCTAAGCACCCATAGTTACCGATCCACTTGGCAAGGTAGGCGAATCGATCAACCACCTCGAGTTCCTCGTTGTCAAGGGTCCAGGGATCATAAAGTGGCTGGTGGTCTTGCAGCAACACTTTGCACTTTGAAGGTGCGAAGCGCATACTAAATAACGAGGTTATTCAGGGTTGATTATGCCGCCGCAACATCGTCAAATAGCAAGACGATATTTTTCCATGTACTGAAGATCAACTAAATCTTCGCCAGGTAGGACCTCAACGCCTGATGTTCTGCTGTCATTGATGGTGAGGATGTGCCAGTGGATTGTTCCATTACTCACTGTCCCCTCATCATAGTATAAGGCTTTAAATCCTCCTACGATAGACTGTTCTTTTCATCAGGGTCGCCACGGCGTTCGATTCACATCAAGAACCTTAGAGATGTTCAACAACTTCCAGTCCAGACTCCGCCATTTCTATCCACCCGAGATTGATAATTGATTGAGAGAGAGAGGGGCAGGTCATAAACATTGATGGAGGATACGTAATTGTTGTTGTTGTTGTTGTTGTTGTTGTTGTATCTTTCGGTACAGTTTTTCAGTGAACCAGCGGCGGGAATGTATGTTACGATTCAGTCACCGGTTAAATACCGTAGGTGTCGATTAACCTTGCAAGCAAGCAACATCGATCGAATGGGGTTAGGCTGCAGGCACCCGACTGGCTCATGTAGAAGCCAGTAGTGCTTAGCCATCTCTAGAACAATGTACCACAGCTCGAGCGGCATCCGGCCAATGGAATTTGACTCGCGAGGCAGCGACGTACGAAAAGGAAAACCAGTTGTAAAACACATTAGCAACGAGTGGTCACTACTTATTATGAATAAACACGTCACCTTGCAGTTACTAACATTTGATCGAAGCCCGGCACCAATTATGCTTTTTCGGTAGGTTACGCGTCATCGTGTGAAATTGTAAAACGGATGGCATCAGAGCTAAGAACGTTCTTCTTTAGACTGTTCAAATACAAGCGTACGATACTTATCGTTCATCACGCGATACTAAAATTCGTCACGTAGCTATTTGTCCATGGGTGCAGCGGCTCCCTTCCTTCATCTTACTGTATATGTATACTGATAACCGTCCTAGGTTCTGAGCCCATGTCCTTCCTCTTGGTCTTGCCTGAGCGCCGTACTCCCAACCAATGTACAACGGTTTTGGTTTCCATAGCAGCGAGTCATCCGTGTAGAATGCTTTTATATTGTCGACGCGTTTTCCTTGTTTCCCCTCGATTGAACTCCTGCGAATTACATCGATTTGCTCGCTGGTATGTATTATTTAACGGTATTCGTCATTTGACGCCCTTTTAGGAGGTTAGTGACAGTATCCTCTATTTTATGACTGCAGCGTTCGGTTTGAAGACCGCATTTTCTAGTTCCTTTTTATCATCAGTAGTACTTGCAGATGCTAGATCGTTGCATCCAGACATCTTATTGATATCTGCTGCCATCCTATAACATTCTGAATCTATTCGCTCAGAAATTGTTTTCCATCTATTTGTGACCAGATATCTATCTAAAGTTTTGCTTTTACATACATGCAGTGGGTTCAACGTGACTTAATCTACTCAATGCTCGCTGGCTCATCTAGTGCTATGTTCTACTAGCAGGCAACGTCAACCCTGTCCTACAGATCATTGCGATCTACAGACTGCGGTTCAGCATCGCTTGTTTTATTGATTAGAACAGAATGCCTCGAAAGTCTACCTGATTGTGGGATTTTTGTTCTTTGTCGCGGACGACAAATGTATGGCTCATTGACTCCCCTCACTCTCATTGTACAGGGTGTGTGACTTTTAACCGATTCTTGTCAAAAATCCCGGAATGTTAAACACTTATATAAATTTTACTTAAATCTTGCAGCCTACTTGTAAATCACATCATCGCCAACTACTACGACTTTTGTCGTTTTCTTGCCTTTTATGTGATTAAAATGATTTAAAGTCATACCAACTCTCAACTATCTCTCCCCATCCTTTCAGAGTGTCGACCTAAAGATGTACTTTCATCTGACTGACATCACATTCATCCCGGACGAGGCAATACAAAAAGGTAATTCACCTGGAACTGTTGTGTATCTCTGACCCCACTTTTGACCCATCCTCTGATCTTTTGGGTTACACCTCAATTCTACCGCTTTTCTGTAACCAGTCACTAGCCACTACCTCTACCTGACGAGTTCAGTCGACTATGAAGAAGTGTTGCGACTGGTGACATTTAATATTTATATTTTATTTTTACCGTTTGGCTACTTTTATTTTACTATGTAAGTTATTCCAACTGAATCAATCTCATGAAGAATGATTGATCAACTGAACCAGCTGTCTTCGATAAAAATCATTATGCCTAGAGTAGTGATTCCCAACCTGGGAGTAATTGCCCCCAAATGTGGTAAAATGTGAGTTTACAATGGAGTAAATACAATTAAAAAGATTCAATCATTGCTCTTTCAAAAGGCGAGCTTCTTAACGAAATCATCTGTTCATAAATAATCCCCATTTGAGTCAGAAGTAAGCAAATGCACGAAGAATGTTCTCTTCGATAATTCTCATCAGGCGTGTACAATTATGAAGCAAAACTTTTGAAGAGAATAAACCCCGTAGAGGCCTGTACAGAGAGCAATCAACTCATTAACTGGGCAATATGAAAACTAAATCAATGATTTGATCAATCGGATTGTCGCATTAGGAAGCAGGTGATCAAGGAAGGTAAAGTTCAAGGCCATGGCAATTTCAGAACCTGTAGCAGTGTGCGCTGTTTTCACAGCTCCGGTTTTAGAACTTTGATAGCAATGGCTTCAGAAATGCTCAATAAATGTTTCCTAAGCTGTTTTGGGTATCGTTTAGAGATAGTATAAACGACTCGAAGCGATTGGTTTATCTGGACTTGGTGTCCAGTGTCGACCAAGTGTTGTAATACAGAACTGTTGATGGATTTTACCGTGCCTTTTCGTAGTGACGCAGGACAATGCTCAGCGATTCTTTTGGACAAACACCTGGCCGTATGTCCAAGATACCTAGCACCACAGGTGCAGGTGAACTGGTATGAGACAAACGATTCGGTCAAAGACACGTTTGATTTTGTCAACCGAATAGAAAACTTAAACGTGCAGGATAACTTAATGCTTTTGTTTGACGTAGAATCACTTTTCACGAACGTGCCGTTGGTAGAGACTGTGACATTCATTTGTGCTTTCATCGCTGAGAGAAACATTGATGTTGGAATTCCGGTGAATAAATTAAAAGAATTGATTCTGCGTTGCACCTTCAACTTACAGCTTCTGTTTGATGGAATCTGTTATAGACAGATAGATGGAGTCGCAATGGGTTCTCCCCTTGGCCCACTTTTGGCCGACATCTTTCTTTCAAAGCTTGAACGTGGAGGCCTGAACACCCTTATATCTTCATTTGATTTATACTACCGTTTCATGAACGACACTTTCTTTGTCGGTGACTCTTCCATCGATTACCTAACCCTATTAGATCAGTTTAACAGAGTGCATCCATCATTAAAATTCTCCAATGAAGATGAGCAAGATGGCCGCTTGGCGTTCTTAGACGTTCTATTGCATCGGCGTGAAAACGGGACTATCAAAAGAAGTGGTTTTCGCAAAGCGACGTGGGTAGGTCAATACTCCCACTTGCTTAGTTTTGTACCGCTGAGATGCAAGAGGAATTTAGTCCGTTGCTTATACCATCGTGCCAGAGCAATCTGCAGTCCAGAGACGCCTGAAAGCGAAACCAAGCTCATCTTTAACACGCTGCAAGGAAATGGATACCCCGTACCTTTCATCAAAAAGCATTCCAAACAGCTTGAGGCTGTCAAATGTGTCGCTACAGTTCCCACAAAGAAAGTATTCCTTACAGTTCCCTTTAAAGGTGACGTCGCGTTCAAACTGTTGAATAAAAAAATCTCGACCGCAGTGACCAAGACATTTCCAGCCACCAATCTAAAACTACTTGCCGAAACAAGACTATTGATTCTTCAGCGCTTAAAGGATAAACTCCCGGTTCGGTCTGAATAGTTTGTCTTGTACCAGTTCACCTGCACCTGTGGTGCTAGGTATCTTGGACATACGGCCAGGTTTTTGTCCAAAAGAATCGCTGAGCATTGTCCTGCGTCACTACGAAAAGGCACGGTAAAATCCATCAACAGTTCTGTATTACAACAGTTGGTCGACACTGGACACCAAGTCCAGATAAACCAATCGCTTCGAGTCGTTTATACTATCTCTAAACGATACCCAAAACAGCTTAGGAAACATTTATTGAGCATTTCTGAAGCCATTGCTATCAAAGTTCTAAAACCGGAGCTGTGAAAACAGCGCACACTGCTACAGGTACTGAAATTGCCATGGCCTTGAACTTTACCTTCCTTGATCACCTGCTTCCTAATGCGACAATCCGATTGATCAAATCATTGATTTAGTTTTCATATTGCCCAGTTAATGAGTTGATTGCTCTCTGTACAGGCCTCTACGGGGTTTATTCTCTTCAAAAGTTTTGCTTCATAATTGTACACGCCTGATGAGAATTATCGAAAAGAAATCATCTGTGTCCAATCATCCTACTTAGTACCTAATCACTAGTGATTGGTCATTGGCGACACATCAATAGTGATTTCTCAGTGAATTGGACTACTTCAGGCAACAAATGACATAACCTAAAATTGAAGCCAAAGCATACTTCCTTGGGTTTAGCGAACGTAACAAACTGAAAAAATATATATCAACAACACACAAGCCACAACACGTTGGGGGCGTGTTGGTGGTGCGTATTCATTACTATCAAAAAAGGCCTTACCAATAGGGATCCTAATCGCCACCATTTCTGGATGTGAAGGTGTTTTTTCTTCAGAATAATGATAAGGAAAACAGAAGTGGGGTACCTATTTCATTGCACCAAATGTTAAAGAGGTTATTGATACTTTGTGATACCAAGGTCTCATTGCCTTATCTTACATTTTGTTTTAATAGCAACATTTTGTCAAAAGTAGGCATTTTATTTGTTTGCATTTTTGTAATTCACTGCAAGCAGCATTTTTTCACTATGATGTTAATCAAAAATGTGCGATAGTTAGTAGTTAATCTGTTTTTGCAACCAAATTCTTTGTGGGTGATTGTCTGTATATTGAACTCGCTTTAGGGATAGCAGCCGCAAAAAGATTAGGAACCACTGGCCTAGAGCGATGGAGTGTCTGCGCACTTCCACCTCTTTTGTTTCCTCTTCGTCTGTCTTTGCACGTTGTCGGAACCTGTTTCTGTCGCCCGACTTTGTTTTGATTAGTACAAACCTGCTCTGGCACTGAAGCGTTTCGTTTCTCTTTTGTAGTTATTGATCAGTATTATAGTAATACATCTACCCTGGAATTACCGGATGCTGGCGAAATCGCCCAACAAGTGAAGAAAAATGCCCCCAAAGGCTTGCTCAATCGCTCGTTGTTGAAGCGATTGTGCCAAGCGCCTGCTTGTTTCGCGGATCCGAATTTTTGGTCTATTTCTGGTTTTGACAGGCGTTTCCGGTGGTTTGATCATCATTTGTCCTTTTCTGGTGGCGAGCTTCACTTGTATGCCACATCCTCTTCCGTAAATTCAACGCGAACGGTGGAACAACAAGAAGATTTTGTCACTTGTGATGATGTTGTCCGACAACAACGCATCGATTCAGTGGTGAACGCGGTGATGAACAATCTCCTGCCGACATTGGATCCGGAGCCAGAGCTTGATCTGTCCACGGTTGGTGACCACACCGATTTGTTACGCTGTTTGGAGAAATTTATCATCGAAGGCCGATTCACGGGTCGCACTGTGGAGGAAATCAAAGTGGGTCCCTTCAAAGCTTCTTGTATGATTTTGTTAATCCCCTAATGGGATTACTTCCCAACTAATGTATTGCTGCTTTGGGAACGCCAACTCAAGTCATGGTAGGCTTTACGCTTTCAGCAATTTCCCTAATCGATTGCGGAAGTGTGGACATACCATTCTCAAAAATGCAGTGATTGTACGAATTGTGCACACGTGTCGATCCCTTTGACGAGTAACATTTTGTTAGCATGTAGGCGTCAAAAATGTATTACTACGGAATTATTTTGCGATGCTGTGGGGTAAAATAAAACTCGAATTTCGGTGCACGTATAAGGAAGAGATTGAGCCTCGGGATAAGTTACCGTGCAGTGGTTGATGAAGGTCATTTGTGATCCTAAAAATGATACGAATGGGGAACTCAACAATCGCTTCCTAGTCAATTCGGAATTAAGTTTTATCGACCGTACTGGCAGTATACTTTTGGGAGGAAGGTCAGATAATGTAACCAAAGAAGGGCAAAGTACTAGGTTGTTACTACGGTTGCTGTGGTTTTAGATCTTAAAATTTAAATGCACCTATTTTGAATCGTGTAACATTTTTAATCGAAATAAAAGCCATTTGAATTGTCACGCTTTTGCCAACGAGATGGAAGTTTGCCTAACCCGGATGAATATAATTACAGACTTATGGTGCCGATTGACTCATCGAATGCGGTTTCAGCATCTCTTTGGGCTTTAAAGTATTTGTTTCGGAGGAACTTACCTGGACACTTGATAAAGTGGTACTCGCTAGACGATAGGTCAGAGGAGTATGGTGAGTGAGGCAAATTTTCGTAGCCCAGCTCCTGAAGCCTCCGCACAGTTGATTGTGCGCCGTGCTACCGATCGTTATCGTGTAGAATAATTGGCCCCTTTCTATTGTGTAGTGCTGTGTATATATGCTGAAGTTTTCGGTGCGTTTCAACAACTTGTTGACAATACCTCTCTGTCCTAATTGATTCCCTTGAATTCAGCAAGTTGTGATGGATCAGACTAACCACAGACCACCATACAGTCAACATAACGCTTTTTGGTGCAATTTACGCCTTGAGAAGTGTTATGGGGCTTGCTCGTGCAGTGCATCCTCATTTGTTTTATAATATCCACTTCTCATTGCACGTCACAGTCCAGTGGAGAAACATGACTTTTTATTGCGCAGTAGATTTGCGGACGACACTTTAAAACTGCACTCACTATCCCCATGACAAGTCTAGCGTGGATAGCTGGACACGGTCTGCGAACCGGACAAGTATATAACAGAAAAAGCCAGCCTCTATTAACAATGTTTTTACTCACCTGCACCATATATCATTCGACTCTACGACTCTTTTGCATCTTTGACCGGTTTCAACAAATACTGCCGGATCATTACCAAGCCAATCGGTCAACCAACGAAGAAATATGGCCGTCAACCGACTGCGAATAATAGAGTGCAAAATCGGTTTGTACGATGCATCGCCGGCTAGCACTACTGTTCAACGAAAGCTACGGCAGTGTTCCAGGACGTGGTGCATTTTCGCCTGGCAAGCGTTCTCCCTATAAAACGCCTCAAATATGCGCTTAACAACACTGCAACGTGGCGGATGTGACTCTCCACTGAGTAAAGTCATAGCTGAACATTTCACACTGACGCAGTCATCATACTTCTACATACAACATGTGCAACTGATTTTACTATGAAGAATGCTCGGATGGAGCACAGAACATTCCGATTTTTTAATGGACTTTGATTGCACCAAAATCTTGTTTTGGTTCCTGTGCTCATGGATTACTACATGGCAAAATCACGCCGAACTTGAATATTGACACAACCGTTATGAGTGATTTTTACGCGCCCCAACACCATATTACCTGACAAAATGCTCACACGTATGGACTACATCTTTTCGGTTATACCTTTCGTGAAAACTATTCCAAAGAAGCTATGCTTGTATGCATATTTAATCGCACCTTTACGGGTGTGTCCCGTTTTACCGAGAATATCCCATTTATTTATTTATTTATTTCCTTGATTTTCATTCACATTATGTGACACCCACTTATCAAACTTTTTCAGCACTCCAATCTCCCGATAATGTTTAACAACTGTCACATACAATACTGCCAACTTATGAACAAGATCTGAAACCGTTTTACTCGGATCCGCTTCAACTAAAGCCCTTAGTTTATCGTTGTTTTGTTTCCAATGGTCGTCCACAACGCCTTTCATCTCCAACCCTCTCATGAACTGTTCGAAATTTTAGAAACCACCATTGTGAAGTACAGCCGTTAGTGATTCCAGGACCAAATGTAGTTTTAATATTACAAGCTGTTTCTGCTGCATTTCGTTAAAAGTCTAAAACTGGTTATTGAGCTGAATTATCCTTAATGATAGTGCGAAAAACGTGCTTCAAAATTATATGCAAAATCAAAGAAACTTATTAAAAATTTCTCCAACGATGCAGCGGTTAAAATTACTAGGATAAATTTAGGGCTGAAGGCCAAAATATCTAGCGATTATTTGTTTCGGTATACCTTGTTAGTTCATCCACTGATCAGAGGTGGTACTTGAGACCGCTGGCATCCTCTGTGCACAAGAGAAACAAAATACTATCCTACAACATTCAGAAGAGTTTTGAGATAAGGGACCGGGACCATCTGCACCTCAAATCGACAAAGTAATCAGCACATTTGTAATCGGCGTGGGTGGGCGATTGATGGAAGATGTCTTTCACTACTTAAAGAAAGTGGAAAACGAGAGTGGATAGCTCTCAGCAATAACACCCCGGTGAGGCGAGAACAGGGCACTTTTGTCATTAATTTTGGCAACTTGAGTGTGCTTTGGGCACATCTTTCTTTTCTTCCTCCTTGAAACCATGCCCTTGCCTGATCGCCTCGTTTTTCCCCTTCATTGCTCCCCAAATGTTTTTAATGCTTGACTTGTTGAAATGCGCAGCACAGAACACGCGCCGAGGGGCGGCTGGTGAGATTGCTTTTCAGACAACATTCGATCCTAGTAAAACATAAGTGTTGAGTGGCCTTCTGGTTTGCCGGTTCTGGGGCTACTCTTCTTCACCCTGAATCGGCTAAATCCGGCCAATTAATTGTACTTTGTGTTATCTCTTGTTAATCGTTTATCCATTCTTAGTGTATCCGATCGGGTTGCACACCATGCGATTTCTATCTTTCACCATCACCTCAATTACCGGTTCTGCTCGGATGAAATATTTGCAAATTCACATACCTACGCGCATCTTGCGTCACATCAACAGTCTCTGGTCCTATTTTTATCTCCATAGGGTTTTGTCATGCGAATTCACCAGCCTACGCTGGCGAATTGTGAGTTATTAGCCCCGAGGAACAGCTCATTTTTCATTCGCAAGCCTCTGTTTTCTCCCTCAGGGCTTATTTGTGCAGGTACAGGTGACAGAGATACCGGAAACAAATATCACTATGAACTAATCGATGAAGTTTTTCTTCATAAGCATCCGATACTAGCGATTGAATCTTTGATCAGTGAATAATGATTTATCACAAGTAAAAAGCAGGTGCTTGACAAGTCCCGCAGGATGGTTAGCCTTAAAACTACAAAACCAAGCAATATGTGAGTTTACTGTTTAAGCGTCTAACGAGTTGCATACGTTGCTGAGTAACGCAATTGTAAAATGGGAATACGTACAAACGTACAAAACGATATGTGAGAACAATAAGGTATGAACACACAGTCATGTGACACATAAACCTGATATGAGGGCACGATAGTCATATTCCACCGTAGCACAGTTTAGATAACGAAGCGCTTGAAGCTAAGAGCAATATCCAATCGTTTTTTGAAAGTATCCAAAGTAGTAAGGAAGGGGACAATTGAGTTCAGGAGAGAATTCCAAGCTTGGCATACTCGAAGAGGAAATTAATTTCGTCGACACCAGACGCCTGTATTGTTTACTCAGTTTCAGGTAGTTACCTCTGAGCTTGATGTTGTGGCTAAGTTCCGGCACATGGTAGCATACGTAATTGGGGCCACTAACATGAGATCACCACGTAGCCTCCGTTGGCGTCCACTGAATAGTCCCGACGACTTTAGCCTTTACTGGTAAGACAGATTACGTAGACCTTAATGTGGTTTGTTGCTTCACGTTGTGGTGTCTATAGCGCCTATTGTTCGCGCTTCAATCAAGCTCACCAAACTTGGATAGCGTATTTATCGTGAGGGCGCACGTAAGAGTTATGCACCACCGGGAAGGTTGATGAGTCAAAACCCGAATGTCCTTCGCAGCTGCCTCAGCCTATTTTGAATGGTTGAGGTCACTCTATACGAGCACGCCAAGGTCGCGTTTCTAGAAACTGGTCTGCAATCTATGTGCCCCAAGCCTATACATGTACCCATACGTATAGCGAAGTTGAACAACTCGACCTTTTTCTACATCCTGTACTGACCTGTTCATAATTGTGTTAAGATCGCGCTTGTTCCCTTTGTGGTCGTCCGGTCCAGTGATCGTTTGCCATACCCTGATATCGTCTGCGAAGAATAAGAAATCACTTATGAAACCCAAGTATAGGCCTGTTCCTAGCACTGAACCTTGTGGTACACTGCACTGATCTAGTCGATCAGACATCTGACATGCAATCTCTGAACCCCGAGTCCAGCACCCGACCCGCGCTTTCGCACTATCACCCAGTTCGCGTTCAACGGCTTACCGGGGGGTTACATTGTACTACGGCATTGGTGCACAATGCTGACGTGCTGTTGCAATCACACTGAAGACAGGAGGCTACTACCTCAAGTTTCACGGTTTATGCTTTCTTTCCATCTTCTCACGTCCACAGATTAACACATCTGTCATGTGATTCGACTAGGGTTCTCAATGTCACTATGACGTAGTATCTTCATGAAACATATGGGTAACATTTATTCTCTGTAATCCTACTCCCTGGGCTTGGGACTTCATGCAATCATTCTCCCCGCTTTGTGGTCTTGAGTTTTGCTTGACTTCCGTTTACAACTCAGAAAACCAACCAGTCGTGTAGGAATGTTGTCTCCCTGTTTGTCAGATAGTTCATCACCGTCCACTCTCAGTCAGCAGGCGTTTTTTTAGTCTGGAAAACATCAGACACCGGTCTTCGATCCTTGGGGTCTCGTCAGTGGTGCGCCTTCCATTGGACCCCTGCCGGGTTTCGCCCCATGAATCCCGGATGCCAGCAGCTAGTGCCACTTCCTCATGGGTGACAGCCGCGGACCTGCGTGATTGACAGTTGACTGTGATATTGCCCTGTTTGTTGACAGTACTCATTCGCGACCGATGGCGTTTCTTACCGATTCCTCGATCTTTCATCCTTTAGCCTGTCAACTCATTATTAAACTAGCTTATCGACTTCATTCACATATCCTCAACTCATTTTGAAAGCCCTCCAGTCGTAATCGAATCACTAGCATCCTCTCTACCTTTTCCCCGGTGCCTCCTATTCCCCTGGGTTCGCCGTCACTCTCCTCTCTGTAGCGCGCCCCAGGGCGTGCTTGTTACTGTACGTTCACTAGGCGACCAACCCCGCTCTCACTCCGTTAAACGATGCTAACACCCCACTCTTTTTCCATCCCTGCCCTCAGGCCACCCTCGGTGATACGGAGGAACTGGCTCACGTCTTTAATGTTTTGCTGAATACCAAAATGGTGAGTTTGTTCTGTTCGGTTTACACGCCCCGCTCCACGTGTCTTTTTGCGTCAATAGCTGAATCGAAGTCTTTTTGTCTAATAGTGCATTCCTCTTTACAATTTAAGCGAATAACGGGACTGTGGTTCCACTGTTAGTTTTCATGTTTTGTGAGTAGTATATATCATAATCACGCTATGCTGCTAACCCAGTTCGTTTGGTATAGGCAACAGCCTACGGGCAGCGCATGCGGATATGTTGCTGGTCAGTGAAATATATGGATTATCCAGAATCGACAGCGAATAATTTTTTATCGGCACGCCGATCACAAAGTACTCATTGCTATAGTTTGTCCATTTTATCCATCGATCAACATTTCGAACTTTCATCCAGCGCACTTTGTCCGCGATCTGATCCGGCCGCCAACACCCGCTTTGCCCTGAGCAATTTATCCTAAAATATCGCGCTACCAATACAAGGAAACATTTTATGGCGCGCTTACACCCTGCCTCCTTGTTAGCGATAGGACCAGCCTGGTCCGATTCCGCTCAAATATCCGGACTCCATGTAGCATCGCTGTACACAACGGAATTCCGGGGGGAATAGACCCTAACTTTTTGCTAACCCCAACCTTCTCCTTTCCAAGATTGAACGATTTAACAGTACCCCTGCCTATTTGACTTTTTCAACAAACTCCGACCACTTTGCTTTGGTCGCCCGCGATACGTCCTCATTGGTTTTCGTACTCATTTTGCCGGGCAGTCCCCCCTTCCACCCGCCATCTATTTGCACTATGGGTTTTTTCAGGTTTTCTGGCTCGGTAGCACCGTTTCACGTTTTGTGCACCTTCGATACCTCCGACTTTGGGTTATCCATCTGAAATCCAATCGCACGGTGACTTCGAAGTCGATCACTACCAACCACGTAGATGACATGCCTATCGAACCTGCAGAGAAGCGTCCAAGGTAAGTGGAAAGTGACTGTTTCCAAGTGCGTTTTTTATTTAGCAAAGCCTGAATATTTTAACTAGTATTGCTCGTTCCCGGCATTTGAGCTCATGAACGATCTCACTTCACTGTGAGCTCTTTCATTGGCGATAAACGAAGATCGGAGTCGAAGCTGGGACTTTGTAGGACTCCGATGGACTGTCATTTTACCACTGAGCTCCGAAAGTTGCGCTTATCCTAGTGCTTAGGAATTCCCACTTCCTGTTTCGAAACACCAACTGTGTGTTCAATTCGAGATATGCAATCTCTTTGTATCCCGGCTTACTTTGAACTGAACCTCGTTCATATTCCGATCGTCACTGGGACCGCATCTGAAGTTGGAAGTTTTCCATGTTATAACCACTTCCAGGTCTGCAGTATTTGACCACCGTGTGAAAGCTCCCGGTAGAATTAGCAGGTTAGAACTGGGTTAGAACCTAGTCACTTATTGGTTGACGGTTATAGCATCTTCATCACCAGACCAGTGAGCTTTTAGAGCAATGCATTGCACATCGATTACGGATTTATTGTTGGACGCCTGTTGTATGGGGGTGGATTACCACATAATCACGATTTGAGACACGATTTATTTTAAACCTCCTATAAGTCATTTCGACCACTGAGATCTTATCTAAGGCGGATGAATACCACCCTACCACCGAGTTGGTTCATGTTATTACATACTAGGCAGCAATATTATTCTGGGTGTAGTGGCGAACCCGTGAAGTACGTCCTGGTTTTCCGGTAGTCTTGTTTGCCACGAACTAAGTGCAGAAGTTGACCACTTCTCTAAGTTAACTGCTTTTTCCAAAGTTCACCATGTAAGTCATATTGACATCCTCTCTAAATTGCATGTTGATCACTTGGGCTATAGCAATCGTTATTAATTTAACCTCCATAACTTGACCTTGTGTAGGTTTAATGTGCAATGGTCACCGAATGACTGGTTTGTTCAAATTCTAACGTCCGGGATAGTTCATCACAGTTCACTCTCAGTCAGCAGGCTTGGGCCAGTCCGGAAATGCACCAGACAGTTGCTTCGATATTCTATGTCGTGTGAGTGGTGCGTCTTCCATCAGACTCTTGCCGGATTCCGACCCCAGGACTTCCGGATACCAGCAGCCACTGCCACTAAGCCATCTGGACAGCCGCGGACCTCAATGATTGACAGTTGACTATGATATAGCCCGGCTCATCTTCCACTGCCATGCCATTTGCGAACCAAAATCCCTATTACTCATTAGTAATCTAATCTCCGTCCATATAGCCTCTAGGTGTTGTGTCGTACACAGTCACTATTCGGAAAGTCCTATCTCATGCGGCTAACTTCTTTCCTCTGCACATTTCATAACTGGCATGACAGTGGAAGATGAAGGGAGCTATATCATAGTCAACTGTCAATCATGCGAGTCCGCGACCATCACTCATGGCTTAGTGGCACTAGCTGCTGACATCCGGAAGTCATGGAACCCGGCAGGCGTCCGATGGAAGGCGTACCACTGACGAGACCCAAAAGGTCGAAACAGCGCTGCCCGTGGACTTTTCCAGACTTACCAAAGCCTACTGACTGAGAGTGAACAATGGTGATTTATTTCTAAGTTATACAAAATTCTCCACTACTCCTCAATAACATAATGTTCGTAGCGGGATTTTACAATGTGTGAAAGTCTCCTGACCCACAATCACTGCACTTTACGGGTCCGCAAGTGTTTTACGATACAGCACAATCTCTGTGTGTGTGTGTGTATGTGCGCCTACATTTCTGTCTTGCTTCTCAGTGTTTTCGCGCATCTGTGTTTACCTCGTACAATGTGTCCCCACAGATCCGCGACCACGGATTAACGTTGAACTTTGTTGTGTGAACCCTTTGCTCATCGGTCTACACACACAGGCACGCATCACGCCCACTCTTTGAGACATGTGCTCACGTATTGTATAGGTCACAATCATAAGTTCGAATGCCCGTCTAACCGTTGATTAGTTATAGTTAACCTGTTCACTTACACTGGTGATCAGAGAAAGAAGCAGACAACGATTCACTGTTTTTTAGACATGATGTAACTTTAGGGAAACTACACTGTGTTTTGCTCTATTATATTACTGAATGATTTCACTGTATTTGTCATGATGTACGAGCTCATCTAATATATTACAAACAGGACAGACGTAAAAATAATGTTTACTACACACAACGTGGAGGTAAGGTGCGCCAAGTTTTTATACCGGACCTCCATATGTTGACCATCACCTCTCTGTGTGGGCCACTTTGGTCTACTTAGTACGCAACGCGCTCGCTGCACTGACCACTCACATGCTTCAAATGCAAATACTCCCTTAATCGGAATGCCCGAATCGTACGTTAACTTCAATCATGGATCAAATTAACATTCTCTATCATAAACACTTTATGACCCGAATCATCTGCTCCTTCTGTTTCCACAACCTTATTCCACGATCGAGATCCGCTTCTTCCTTTGTCTTGCGCCGTGTTCCATGAGCCTGCTTTCTTCAAGGGAACCATAACTGTCAGTTGGTGTGAATGCGTCTTCCTGTCGTAAACATTCAATCTTTACAAACGAGCTGTATTCACACTCTCGCCGAATTCCCAACCACTTGTTGTCATGTTGTCCTTCACAACGCAACTCAGATGGGTCTTCTGTCCATCTCCCCTTTTTTAGAGTCCTCCTCCAATTCCGCTCTCATACGAATTACATAATTTAAGATTTCACATTATATTGCCTGCTTTTGAATCCTACTGTAGTGTATTTTTTGTATCTTACCTTGTTGTTTTGCGGTACATTAGCTGAGGTGTTTCTCACCCTCAACTAATGTGTATTGATGGTGTTGATGCTGGACCTTCACCGTTTTTAGCTGTGCTTCTGTTAGTTATGGGGAACGTAGACGCTTCAACACATACAATTTCCAAATGTCTTCTCCTGATGAATGTTTCGTGTCAGATAGCACATTTGAGGAATCCTTTTGTGTTTGCACAAATGCTCTGCGTTCTATGCTATGTCTGTTTTAACATGCAATGGTTCACAAAATCCACCATAGGAAGTGCTGTTTAAAGTATCACACTATCCTCCGCCTCTGTTGTCGCAGACACTGTACGGAACACAGCCTCTGGATGACACAGTCACTTTCGTACAAACCCCCACAGAACGATCAGCACAATGTATAACGCAATCAGACAGTTTCGATTATTCCTATAACACGATACACTCGGACTGTTTCATTCTTAACGATAACCACTGCACGGCCAGATAAATTTTGACTGGAGATTTCGGGGTTGGTTTGGGAACTAAATGCCCTAGGCTGATCAAGTGGATGACTCAAGTTCTCAAGCAACCTGACCTACTGGGCAGTACTGGGATTGGATTGTTAGACAACATCTGTTGGAATGGTGCCTCTTACAATGGACAGAAGAAATAAAGAGTTTCGCAGCTGTTCCCTTCCAACACTGTACTCTATGGCAGACCGGTTTTTTTCTTGTATTGAGTCGTCGAGTAGAAATAACCTGATCTAAGCGTGGAATTCAACACATAGCTTTTGACAGCTTACTCCTGGGTCACTAAGCCAGAGTTCTGCTGGCAGGCCTTGTCACAGCAGTTAGAAGTTCATTGTTGGGTCTTCGAGTACCCGCCGTGTGTCTCTATTGCGAAATGCAATGTCAGTTGTGGCCACGGCTTGCTCTGAAACAAACCTTTTACATTCCAATCACTGGGATCGCATCCCAGGTAGCGTTTCAAAGCTGGTCTCTCCTATCACTGCATTCCACGATCGATTGGTTTCGTCCTAGTTTGGATTCTTCACGTAAGGATAGCCTGAGCTGAGAGTGGGACTCGACACTTAGTGGTTGATGGTCAACGCTTTCGTCACTAAGCCCGAGCTCCGCGAGCGACCTCTGTCACAGCGGTTAGAACTCCGTTATTGGGACGAAAGAAATACCAAAGCTTACTTACATCGGTGCTCAGTGTTGTGTAGCCCTCTGAAAATAGATCAAGCACTGCAACCGGATCACTATATAATAACCACAGAATGAGCTGTTATTTATTGTGTGTAAGCATGTGTGATGGTACTTTATCGGTATTGTTCCTCGCCGCTCTGTGGGCCAACTTCCACTAATCAAATGCTGCTCGTCCTTTGCTACCGTACGAGCCAATCGCCTTTCTGCATGCTCCGGAGCTAGTTACATTGCATCGATGCTACGCAGATCATTCATTAAATGTGTGTTCAGTAGATTTTTCACCTTGAGCTATCAGGAATGTCACTAGTAGCCTCATTTCGAACCTCTGGTTTCGACGATTGAAACATTACTTGATATTCATTCGCAATGTTACCAACCAAATGACGTACTCTGATCTTTCCATATAAGAATTGCAACTTAAGACTTATAAACTAATTGTACGAGGAACCAAGACGGCTGTTTGATCTAACTTCTTTCTCGTCAGATACGCCGTTCTGTGGAATAGCCTACCTGTCACTCTTAGGTTCTGTACAGTTACAGGAATATTTCTCTTTGAACTTGGAAGTTTTCTGGGCCCGAACTCGATGGTGACTATGTTTTTATTGGGAAAATCACCAAATGAGTTCTTCTAAGATGGGCTGATGAATATATAATGAGTGGGGAAGGCTGCTGCGCTCAACTCAGCATCAGCCACAATCGTGTGTTTCAGAATGCCTTAATAACATGGAGGTTCCAGAATAACTATCTCACTCATGCGTGAGCATGATCTTAACTGTACTAATGATCTGTGTCTATTCCTGGAACAGTCTCTCGCACATTCAGGAAATAGGCATATTATCGGGTACATGTCCTAGCGGTACAAATCACCGAATTGGATGTCGCTTGAACTTAGGTCCGAATGCCGAGTGACGCACATTGCTAATACATCTGTCTAACGCTTTTTAACAGATGCGGCGTTAGCTGACTGTGTCCAGTTTGTCCGGGTACCACTAACAGTACCACAAATACCCGTATTTGTGATGAATTCAACGGTTATTTACTTCACTACGTGCCACACCTCTCTTTTGAAACTTCTTGTCGCGCAACTCAAGCACACTGCATGTATTTTAACGTAGAGCCTTGCACGCAGCGACCTTGGTTCTTGTGTATTTTTTACCATTGTCCTTTTGTTTGTGCATGCTTGTGGGACACCTCGACATACTTGTCTTGGTATTTGACTCGACAGGATGTTTCCCGAATCGACGGAGGTGGCGGAACCAACTCCTCCTCCTCCTATTCCTCCATCATCTCCCGATCGACCGGTGGATATCAAAGGCAATCTGGATCCAGGTGAACACACTTTCGAAGAGGAACTGGCCTCAAAGCATGAAATCGAAGACCTGGGTTACTTTTTCCCCGAGTGTTGGTACGCCGAAGACGGACGTCCGAAACCGAGATATTTTTGTGGTTTTCTCCAAGGCCTGATCTCCCGCTTGACCGATTCTTCCGGAGTCACTTTGTCCCACTTCGCCATGGAACACCAATGGCTGTTTGGGCCACAGGCCGTGAGACGTTTGGTATTTGTAAGTTTGTCACTAATCAATATTGTACATGACTTTCCATAGTTAATGGAAGATACCGACCATCGCTTTTCCTTGGTCGTGTCACCGATACCCTTTTGCTTGAGCCAGGCCTAGTTGTCTACTTATAATACTAATACTAATAATCATATTAGTTGCCGTTTCTCATTTGTGCATGAAACTGTACCTATTTGGGATAGATCATCTTGATTTTTCTCTTGTACGAACACTGCAAATTTGGATGATATATTTATTCAGGTATGTTGTCGGCACAGTCACTGAGACACATATTTTTCAGCTGCGCTCGGTTGGAGATAGCGTGTTAGATTAGGGAATGTGAGTTTTGGATTGAATCATAGGTAATGCTTCTCCTCTGCAAAGCAAACATTCCCATTTCGTTGACAAAACTGGAGATTAAAAATTGGTGCTGGACAAAAGTTCTTTTGACGCTGGCTACTCTTAATTCCTGCTATATAAATATTAGGGTCTGATGATAGTTTATGCAAGAAGAACTCTCACTCATTTCTGGTTTTAATGTTTACTAATTTGAGTGTTTTGTACATACTGTGCACCTTTCCGTAAGGGAAAAGGCACAATGACCCTTGGTTGGCACTTTAACTTCGGTACACAAAACTTGTTGGACAGACATTGACGGGGACGCATCGCTGCGTGATCAGCGTTTGTGCAAAAGGTGAGCAGCTGTTGAATAACCAGCTCGCAAATCCAATTTCCGTCTCTAATTCCATATGTACGTTTTCCGGAGGGTCTGCTGATTCGTTTTGAGAGCTTAACGCCGAGACCTGGCCCAACAAACCTTGGGCGGTAATCCAAACGGTATATCGGAGAAATGGAGAGTTTCCGAAACTTCGCAGAGCATTACTAAGCTAATCGAAGCAAAGTGCCGATAACTGTGCCACTAAAGTATTTGGCTCTATCGTATAATTCTGTATCGTTGGTACGTAACTCACTTCCGGTAACTTATGGCGGAGTATACTTTCTTGTTGGACAGAGAATGGAAGTCTCACTTGAGCCTATAATCTCATCAGTTCAACGTTAAAAAACCGAGTTAATAGAGTGATTTGGTGTAAGTGAAAAGGTTGTTAAACTAGGGCTCATTTCCTCTTGTCGCGCTATATCAACGCTGACGTTTATTTG